GCATTTTTTTTTCTTTGGGATCCTAGGGGCTCACAATTATTAATTAAGAAATTCTAGACTAATTCTAACAAGTATTTAGATTAGAATATATTTGAATGTAGTTTGTCATATTCCCTGTGTTAATACAATGGAATTGTTTATAGAGAAATTTCAGTGAGTTGGCTGCAGAATAATATATGACTATTATAATAATCATAGACCAAGAATTCCCAGTGTTTCTTGGAAGAATTTCCCACATTATCTAATCATGTATAGAATTTAATGTAATATAAAATTATATTTTATGAAAGCTGTAAGCCCTCTTGATAGTTTTCTAATTTGGAAAATTCCAGATAAAATTCAAACAAGTCTCCCAATTGATGTTATATTCTTTGGTAAATCTGAGTTTTAAGAAGCATATTCTAAAATCTCTTCCAATGGAATTATAGCACTGAGTGTAGTAGACATTTAATATTTTAAGGAAAGACAATGATTATCTTTGTTGCTTTGGGGAGATAATTCCTCTGAACAATAGTTTATCTATAAAACTAGATAGTAATAGTACCTTGTTTGGTTCTTATGAGAATGACATAAAAATAATTAAGTTCATGTCTTTATAATATACCTAATGTTTCTTTAGGTTCAATTCTTGTGAATACTTAAGTTTTATTTTTTTACCCTCCTAAAAGTGATATGCTACAGTTAATCATCATATGCCACCTTAAAGCCTGACCAGAACAAGCTTGTATATTAAGATTTTGTCTGGCACATATAAAGTACACCAGATTTATTTGTTAATTTCCCCCTTTCTGGTGTTTTTAAACATATATTTTGAAATGAATTCTCACAGGTGAGACCATGAAGCAGTAATCAAAATGCTTAACACTGTTCAGTCTAAAAAGGTGCTGGCAGTGAGGGGTGAGATATAATCCAGCAGTGTTAGTGCTGGCTAAGCCCCCACAGCTGTTGAGTGCTTTTAACTTTCCATCTTAGGTTTGAGGCAAGCCAGTAGCAATCCAGTTAAGTACCGATGTATTGAAATCATCAAGGTCAAACGCAGGTTTTAAAAGGGAGAGGGTTTTTAAAGAAAACTGAGCAAGGAAGTTTTTAAAATGTTGAGGAGGACATTCACCCTTAGCCTGCTGCAGT